ACGCAAAGGTCATGGCTTGGTCTTGACAGGGGGGGAAATTAGGCTGTGGTGCGCATTGATGGTAAAAATGAAATGCGAGATGAGAGCGCATGGCTGGGCAATACGGTCTTTGAATCACATTGCATATTTCCGTCACAAAAATCTTGTTTTTTGATTTTCATCGATTTGTTTTCCTTCGCTGAATGAAAATGACGTTATTCAAAACAACTTTTTTTCACTCCCTCCAGGGATTTGCTTTATTTCTCCTGATACCAAACGAACTTTGAATTTGAAATATTTCCCCCCCCCCCCAGAACCTCATTTTCTTTGATTTGTTTTTAAAATTATTTTATTTTTTGTGAAGTATGTGTCGAAACACGGTCCTTGGGGAACAATGAGATGAATGCGCATCCATCTGCTGGAACCATGGCAGTCTGTCTGGCACTCGGAGATCAATATACTACATATTTGCCCAATCCGTGAACCTAATTACATGCTCAGGAAGGCTATGTGCGCGTTTTGTGCATCTCTCTTTCAACGAGGCTCCCCTGGCGCATCCCATCATTTCACACTTGTGCAGACTGCCTCCAAAAGTCATTAAAGTCGTCGTCATTGGGATTTCACGCTTGCCGCTCTGATCCGCCGCCCGTAATTTCCCAAACATTTGTAGCGATGGGCTTTATATTGGCGAGAACTCACCTTTGAGCTGTTACGAGTGAGGCAAATAACAAGTTTGTGGAGGAATAATAACTGCCAAAAAGCTGGAGAGATCAATACAGTAGATTTGTTGACCACCTGGTAGCACGATGCTAGGTTGCTAGTGTAGCCGCTTAGCTGACTTGCGCAATAAATGGTGAGAGGATAGTCTGAAATGTATTCATTAGTCATGTAGTGGTTGGTAGCTAGCTAGCCAGCCAGATAGATAGCTTCGTAGCCAGCTAGCTAGCTCGTTAGCTAGCTCGCTAGCTAGCTAGCTCGCTAGCTAGCTAGATAGATAGATAGATAGATAGATAGATAGATGCTGTTGTGGGCAAGGCAGACACCTAAGTTTACTCGTGACATAGCTCAAAAGCGAGAATCACTTTGAGTCACGCTCGCTCTCCGTGGAATCATTGCCGTATATTCACAACATAAACTCCTTTTATGGCATATGTTGACTCACGGAAAAGCGTTTAGTGGGCCTATTTATTTATCTGTCCAAGCATCGTCAAAATTCCCTCGCTTCAAAGTTATGCAAATTAGGTTACAAAAATGCAACACAATGAAGCAAAATGGATACTGGCGGCCGGGCCGCTGAACATTACTCGTGATCACACACGTGGCGCATACGCCCACAGGCGCAGACAAAAACGCGGACACACGCAGAAAGGAAAAGTATAATGTTATCAGCAGCATGTTTGTCATTCCATTTCCTTGATTCACTCTATTGGGTGGATGTCAAGGGCAAGTGCAACATGCTCATGATTGCAGCTTTGCTCCCATTTTGTGGGAATGAAATATCTGCACCGGAAATTGAAGTTCTTTTTGCCGCTGATGACGCAATGTCAATCTGCATGTTAACCAATATGAATGCTATGATTTCTTATGTGCAGAAAAATTGCATGAGGAAAAAAAATCCCCCAAAAGTTTAAAGTAACAATGTAAATCCTCGAAAAGGTGCATACTGTTTGTTAATGTAGTTGCAACTGGCAACCATAACTCTTTAAGAATCTCCCAAAAGGTTAAAACTGGAACTAAATCTTGATTTCGAACAGTATTCATCTGAAAGATAAGTATTTTCTCTGCATTTAACTTCAAAACGATAAAAATCCAGCAACAAGTGTGGATGCACCAATTAAGTAGCATGGTTTTATAACACCCTGTACAAGTGCAATAAAGTCTTTTATCAGTTCACCCCCCCCACCCCTTATTTGTATGTTTTCCACAGAGCAGCTTCACAAACAGCCAATCAATAACAACGACGCGCGCTTATCTCGGGAGTTCACCATTTCAACGATGTGCGGCATCCAGAGTGATTGTGCCACCGCTGATGACATTTTCTAGGGCCGCTTGTTGTTTTCCCCAAATCTCCCGCAGCAATGATAATGATAATGATTATGAGGAGGATCTTCCTGGAATGCTGCAGTTGTCTTACTACTCGGCTCCTCACATTTTATCGATCCTATCAGGAGTTGTAATCACACCCATTCCTTAGAATGGGGGGGAAAAAAGACAAGGCAGAGATGGTAAAATAACCTGCATTCATGTCCCACGTGTAACTTTACAAATGCTCAGGCAATTTCCTCCCTCTTCAAACAAACAAACAAAAAAAAACAGGAACATCAACATTCTTTTTTTTTTTTTTTTAATCGCTATTTCTCAGAGGTAGAAGATTGAAATCCCACGTGACATCTCGGTGCAGCTGCAGCATGACGGATACCGGATGCGGTTACCGTGGCGACGGCATGCTCATCTTCAGCTTCTTCACGATGACAAGGTGCATTCGAGTGTCAAAATATGTCAGGCCCGTACGCACGCATACATTGACGCAGACACACATTTGAGGGCCTTTCATGCTTACAGCTGTCGTTTGTTTCTGTGTAATCGAATTTGGGACAATTGACTGCATACATTTTTAATGACAGGAACATTCTGGTACATTGTACTGACCAAACATCTAGTGACTATTTAAAAATAAAAATAAATATTGTCTGATGTTTCGGTTCTGTTACTGTAAGGCTGGGTAATGTATTGGTTATTTCAAGTTTATTGTGTCGTATTTTTTTTAAGCCTCTGTAATACAATGCATGCCCGAGCTGATGTGCACTTTTTTGACCAAACATCTAGTGACTATTTAAAAATAAAAATATATATTGTCTGACGTTTCGGTTCTGTTACTGTAAGCCTGGGTAATTTATTGGTTATTTCAAGTTTATTTTGTCGTATTTTTTTAAGCCTCTGTAATACACTGCATGCCCGAGCCAATGTGCACTTTTTACACTAAAAAGGCAGCAAATAGAGTGGAGCTACTTTCCACAGTTACATTCAGTGTTGCCAATTTAGCAACTTAGAAAACACACACACTAAGAGACTTTTTTTCCATTAATACAAGAAGTCAGAAATATTTTCACATTGTTTTGTTTGTGTGCTCTGCGATTGGCTGGCAACCTGTTCAGGGTGAACCCTGCCTACTGACAGTAGACAGCTGGGATAGGCTCCAGCACACCCCCGACCCTCATGAGGATAATCGGATTAAAAAATGGATGGATGGATGTTTTGTCTATGACAAGGAACAAGCCAAAATGGAAGGCAATAAACCAGCCGAGACAGTGCCTGTTTTGACCAAAAGGGCTTTTTTTCCCCCAGGAGAAAGCACTTAGTTTTAAATGATCTCTAAAGAAATATGTGTATTTGTATTATATCTGTGGAAGTCTCGGGCAAATGAATGAATTTAAAAATGCATGCTCGGTAAAAAAAAAAAAAAACGTTTCAAAGATTGCCCGATAACTGAATAAATGAAGCCAAGTGAGAGGGCAAAACGTGTTCTGAATAATGTCATTTTCACTAGGGTTTTCAGTTAGTGAAGGGGGAAATCGATTAAAATCTGATTTTTGAGAAAGCATACCACGTCCATTTCAAAGGTTGTCCATTTATCCATTTTCAACATCGCTTATCCTGAACAGGGTCGTGGGGAGTTGCCGGAGCATATCCCAGCTGACTTCGGGCGAAAGGCAGACGAACACCCTGAACTCGCCTGTCAGTCGTAGGGCACATATAAAGACAAACGACCATTCACACCGTCACTGAGTGGGAACCGATCCCACGCTGCACAAGTCCGGCGAGTGTATCACGACGCAATCAGCGACTCATTTTCGAAGGTGGAAATAGAAATACTGTATGCAACGCCGTTTTGTTTTCGGAACACGTTTCCCGTCGGACACGCCCCCGTAAGTGCACGTGAAATTATACGACAAACATTATCGATGGTTTAAACGTAACAGGCCAATAGGAAAATCAACACGTCATTTAATAATATATTCCAAATAATATTATTAAAACTTTGATTGAATTTGGCCTCGTGATAGCTGGGCTAAAATAAATATATCAACAAATGATCAGTCGCTTGTTTCAAGTCGGAACGTAATTCGTGGTGGACGCACCGGAAGTGTGAGCAGCTTTCATTGGAGCGAAGTTGGCAACGTTAACTTCACCAATCAATCTTGAAGTAAGTATCTTAACATAGTTTAAATTCAACCAAAGAACTCCCCACCATAACACAGTCATGATAGTTATGGCGGGTTCGTGTTTGTTTGCTCTAGTTGAGATTTGTATTACGTTACTGTTAGCATAGTAACATTTTCTGACACCATAGAAAACAATAGTGGTTAGCTTTAGCTCCAGCCGAGAACGACATTTACCGAATGCGCGTTACCTTCCTCTTCCAGAATGACGGACCGCTACAACATCCACAGCCAGCTAGAGCACCTCCAGTCCAAGTACATCGGCACCGGCCATGCCGACACCAGCAAGTGGGAATGGCTGGTGAACCAGCACCGAGACTCGCACTGCTCCTACATGGGCCACTTCGACCTGCTCAACTACTTCTCCGTGGCCGAGAACGAGAGCAAAGCCCGAGTCCGCTTCAACCTGATGGAGAAGATGCTCCAGCCTTGTGGACCGCCCGCAGACAAGCCGGACGATGCCTGATTGGAGACACCTGATTCCTGCCTTTTTTTTTTTCTTGTTTCACGGATACATGAGACATTTGGACTCCTCAGTTTTTCCCCTTCTTTTTGATATATTGTTCCTAGACTCCTTCGTGCAAGTTACAGATGATGTCTGTTGGTGTAATAAAAGCGTTGTTTCTCTGCTCTCCAGCTTTGTCCTATGGAATCATTGTAATATGCAAGAAAAAAAATGAAAACATCATGCACACCATCGAATACAAGAGCCACATCTCTCAATGTGATGTTTTACTGTTTTACTTATGCAGACACTACATGCTCTGCATTTGCCCGAAGCGACAATAAATATATCAACAAATGATCAGTCGCTTGTTTCAAGTCGGAACGTAATTCGTGGTGGACGCACCGGAAGTGTGAGCAGCTTTCATTGGAGCGAAGTTGGCAACGTTAACTTCACCAATCAATCTTGAAGTAAGTATCTTAACATAGTTTAAATTCAACCAAAGAACTCCCCACCATAACACAGTCATGATAGTTATGGCGGGTTCGTGTTTGTTTGCTCTAGTTGAGATTTGTATTACGTTACTGTTAGCATAGTAACATTTTCTGACACCATAGAAAACAATAGTGGTTAGCTTTAGCTCCAGCCGAGAACGACATTTACCGAATGCGCGTTACCTTCCTCTTCCAGAATGACGGACCGCTACAACATCCACAGCCAGCTAGAGCACCTCCAGTCCAAGTACATCGGCACCGGCCATGCCGACACCAGCAAGTGGGAATGGCTGGTGAACCAGCACCGAGACTCGCACTGCTCCTACATGGGCCACTTCGACCTGCTCAACTACTTCTCCGTGGCCGAGAACGAGAGCAAAGCCCGAGTCCGCTTCAACCTGATGGAGAAGATGCTCCAGCCTTGCGGACCGCCCGCAGACAAGCCGGACGATGCCTGATTGGAGACACCTGATTCCTGCCTTTTTTTTTTCTTGTTTCACGGATACACGAGACATTTGGACTCCTCAGTTTTTCCCCCTTCTTTTTGATATATTGTTATTAGAGTCCTTCGTGCAAGTTACAGATGATGTCTGTTGGTGTAATAAAAGCGTTGTTTCTCTGCTCTTCAGCTTTGTCCTATGGAGTCATTGTAATATGCAAGAAAAAAAAAATGAAAACATCATACACACCATCAAATACAAGAGCCACATCTCTCAATATGTTTTACTGTTTTACTTATGCAGACACTACATGCTCTGCATTTGCCCGAAGCGACGTGGCGAATAAATAATTCATCCGTAGTTCTTCATAAAAGTGCTGCAGCGTTCAGGGGGGGG